GTGGTCGTGGTCGTGGTCGTGGTCGTGGTCGTGGTCGTGGTCGTGGTGGTGGTGGTGGTGGTGGTGGTCGTCGTCGTCGTCGTCGTCGTCGCGAATGGACCCTGCGGCACGAATGGACCCTGCGGTCCGTCCCCCGTGAGCGGGGCTGGGCCGTGTGCCTCTTCACCCTGGTGATGGTTGGCGCTTGTGTGCTGCTGGCCTGGTTCTGCAGCTCTTTGGCGGCGCCGCCCTGGGTAGGCGTTCCCTTCGCGCCGGCCGGTCCCAAGTCCGGCATTGGCCCTTGCGCTGGCGAGCTGTTCAAGAAGATGTTTGACCCATCGCAGCTTGACCTTTCATTCGATCTTTCATCGGCGAATATAGAGGTGAGGGTTCTCTGCTGACCAGGCAGCAGAGAGGTTCGTTCCGAGCTCGTCCCAAAGCACACCTGGTTTGGGGACCGTAAACCCCTAGAGCCCATGTGAAAAGGTCCTTTCGTAGAGCGCTTCGGAGATTGGCCGTTCACGGATACGCCACTTATAGAGGACAATCCCTGGTGTGCCCAACTCGTGAAAATGCTGGCGCAGCCACAGCGCCCAGCACCGGACTTCGTGGAAACCTCCTCGCTCTAGACGATCACGCGTTGGTCTCTTCTCGTGGAACACAGGTGGGCTGCAAACTAGTACGTGGCATGAGCTTGTGCGTTGGCTCACCTTGCGCAACTATGCCATCGTTTTGTTGCAAGGTACTAGATGACCTGAAAGCAGGTTTTGTGAGACTCATGGATTTTGGCCTTCAGGATCAGTGGGAATTGCACTCTTGTCTCAGGAAACATGGATTGCAGCTTGCGCAACTGGAGCCTTCACTTGATTACTTGCAATCGTTCACTCAGTGGTGTAGAGATTATTGTCATGACCTTGCTGTTTCCGCCAGCCCTTCTGTTTTACCACTTTTCCCTTCGGTGACCAGGGGGGTGGTTGATAGGTGTTCCCCTGAATGGTTGTCGCCTACCTCTGGGAGATTGGTTGCTTGCATGTGGAGGCGCTACCACACTTGGTGTCGCACACAAGTTCGAGACCTTGAGAGTGGATTTCAGGCATGGTTTCACGCTGTCCGCCATCGAGCCATTCGCAAACGTCTGCATCAATAGCCGCCTCCAGCTATGATCTGAGAACGCTGTACGGTGTTATTCGTCACTTGTGTCCCAAACAACCGAGACATTTGATCCGATTTAGGGACTCTGCTGGTTTGGCCCTGAGCCCACACGAGGGTTTGATGGTGCTTCATGAACATTGCCAACATGTATTCTGTGTTCCTCGACCTCCGGTCCCAACCTTGCCATGTGAGCGTTTGCAAGACATGCCTTTTTCGGTTGAAGAACTTGCCAATGCATTTGCCAAGGTTCGTCTCCATAAAGCTGTTGGCCCTCACTCCATGCCGCCGGCTCTAGTGAGGGCCTTGTCTGAACCTCTTGCAGAGCATTGTCATGCATTGTTGTCTCAGTTGTGGTTGGTTGAGGGATTGATCATCCCTTCTTGTTGGAAACATGCATGGTTGACACTTTTGGCCAAACGCACTGTCAAGTCTCCCAAGGGCATCCGTCTGATCGCCTTAACGGACCTGCTGGGGAAGACGGTGTTGAGCCTGATCGTCGTGAAGGCCAAAAGATTTGTCCTGTGTTGTCCTCTGTCCCTCTTTTTGCATACTTACCCCAAACGCGCCACAACTGATGCATTGATTCTTGCATTCGCACACTTTCGAACCACCCGCCAAGCTTGTCAGCAGGCCTCCTCCACCGTCTGGCAACGTCGGGATGGAGGCCGTGCGCGCTCGTTGGCAGGGGGTTGTTGCTTGAGCTTGGACTTGAGCACTTGCTCCGTGAAGTCCTCCCTCCCTCATTGCTCTGTTGCAGGCGTGGCTCACTGATGCCCGCTACATTCTTTCTCACCGAGGGGAGATGTGTGAGCTGACCCCCACGACGGGGGTGCGTCAGGGCTGTGTGGCAAGTCCTTTAGAATGGAACGTGTTCATGTTCGCTGTTTTTGATCGCCTCCGTAACCAGCCAGTCTTGGGACACGAGTGGATTCTAGCTCACTTGCTGGTGTTTGCTGACGATTTGCTCAGCCACTGGAGCTTCACGAGCGTGGACGATGCGAGAAAGGCTTTGGTTGAAATTGGCATGTTTCTTGACCTAATAGAGTCATGTGGACTAAAGATCAACGCCATGAGAAATTTCTTCTCATCCCCCGGGATCGGGGACTTACCACTAGATTGCCGATTACACGCGCTCATACGTATCTAAGGGTTAGGATCAGTTATTGCAACTTTGAACAATTGACCATGAAACACCGCATATGCGTTGGCAGACTCACATGTGCACGCTTGAGATCAATTCTCCTTCGACGGCGCACTCTGTCCCTGCATGACGGAGTGAGAGTTTGGTCGACCTGTGTCAGGACCTCGTACACTTATGGACTCATGGCTTGCGGAGTCACAAAAATGGGTCTTGAGGTTCTTGAGAAGGCGTGCCTGCGTGATCTCCGACGAATTGCCAGGAGTCCCAGCCACCTCACACATGAAAGCAAACTGAACTGTTGAGCAGGCTGAACATCCCCTCCATCGATGTCTTCCTCCGTAACGCCTGGCTCTCTCACTGGCAGGAACGACAAGGTCTGTGTGGGCAGAATTGTGCTGGCAACCTCCCCAAAAGCATTCCAAATCGAGGGGTTGCCCAGCCGAACCAGTTGTTCAGTGATGACTTCTTGCGTTCAATCGATTTTGACGCTCACTTTCGTCTTGTTTTGGACATGTTGCGCCCGACTGCCCCTCAGAGGGTCTGCACACCTCAATTGCTTGCGCGCCCTCACTGTTCTCAAGTTTGTATGAGCCATAGTCATTTGCAAAGACATATCACCCATGCACCATCGTGAAAGCAGGAGCTTACATGCTTTCTTTCCCCTGCGTGACGCTGTAGGCGGAATGCCGCAATGCCGCCACTGCCAAGGGAGATTTCGTGACTGGACAGGCCTGGCCAGACACATTGCATGGGCAAGGTGTCCCATGTTTGTTTTTCACGCTCAGGCTGTTTCGTCTCCAGCTGACGATGAGGCCTTGAGAGCAGAGGTGAAGGCAGAGAATTGGCTAGGGATTGCTCGCGCCCCGGCCCTCGGTGGTCTTCTAAATGGCGACCGAGTGGCAGAGCAGTGCATGAACACCTGCGGAGAGTGCATCATGACCTATGGCATCAATCCCAGAGTCGCTTGGGGCCCATCGCAGACATTTGCCCAGACCAGCCTGTGTGGGCGCGGAAGTACTTCGAATCGCCTTCACGCTTGCCCCACCGCCAGGCAGTTGGCGGTCGTAGCCCATCTTGTTCATACAGACCAGCACGGTTCAGACGTGCCTGCTGAGGTGGTAGCACCACCACCAGCGCTGAAGGGAACTTTGCCGCCGAGGGCGCGCCCTCCTCCGGATCGTGCCACTAATCAATTTCAAAGAAGAAAGGAAAGGAAAAGAAGGTGTTCCCAGCTACGGCACAAGCGTCCAAGGACACACCAAGAGAAGAAGAGAAGGGTTCCCAGCTTTCATCCAGGGACACCCAAGGAAGAGGGAAGAGGGAGAGAGGAAAAAAGACCGAAAACAGGTGTTTTACAGCTACGCGCAAGCGTCCAGGGACACACCAAGGAGAGGGGTTACATTCAGGAATACCCCAAAATAGGAAGAGAGAAGAAGGGGAGGGAGGGGGAGGAAGGGGACTAAGGTCGCGACAGTACTTTGACCGCTGTGGTCACCTTGTGCCCTACCAAAGTGGCTGGCCTCAGACCGCTGCGGTCACGTAAAAGGCATGAGCCATCTTGGAATTCAATAAACCTCCGCCCGCTGTGGGCACGTACGTTCCCAAAGCCGGGGAACATGGACAGACGCCCGTTCAACGGGCCCACGGGAGGCACTCTACGGGCTCATCCCGGACTCTCACTAGGAGAGACACACTTATGGACATGCGTACTGACTTGACAGCGGTGCCACTCGCCAGCCTAAGAAACCCAAATCCTGAAAGGTCCAGGAAAGCCCTAAAGAGCCTGGGGGTCTTCAAAAGGAAGCGAGGCCAAAAGCTCAAGATCGAGGACGGCGATCGGGTCGAAGTGATGGCGTGTCGTGCATGTCTGCAGAAAAGGTTAAAAATCAGGCAGGTACGTGGATTCTGCGTCCAGAATCCATATCAGTGACTTGTAACAGCCTCTTCGTTGGACTGCCACTGTTACAGGCCAGGCAGTCCCCCTGCTCATTGTAAAAGAAAACAATTCAAAAGAATCCCTGTGACTACAAAACGCACACACACACACACACCCCTCTTTCTACACATCCAGCCACTGCCCAACCTCCATAAGTTGCAACTCACGACCGGCGATCTTACTTGTACTCGTCCCACCGAAATTGCCTTTCACGCACCAACGGTTCCATCACAATAGTTCCCTTCCGGATTTTTTCGGTTCTCCACCATTTTGCATTCCGCAACCACTTACGTCTCTCACTGCTCAGTACCCTCACGGGCGCCTAACACTCACACCCTCGGGCCCTTTAAAAGCAGCTGCACTCTACTCGCCATAACCAAACTTTACACCTTCGGCCACCTGTCTACTGGTTTAGTCAACAGCCAAGAGCAAGCGCACACCATCCAGCACGCGACCTGCAAACGCAGCAATGAGCATGCTTGTTGCGTACTCCGGGATTCAGTCAGAGCAGTTGTTGTATGCTTATCCATGTGGTCTTGATACTGCTGTCCTAGTATCCAGCCACACCATACTTGATGCATTCCTTAAGTTTGCCATACAGATGGCACTTACGCTCAGCAATTCACTACCTTGAATTAGCCATCCAGTTAGCACTTCTTGCTCAAAGGATGCGCGTGACACAACACCTATCTTTCTCTCTTGCCCTCTTCTTTTGCTTTTTTTCTTTTTCTTTCCTTCTTTTTCTATAGGCTTGTTAGTTAGGTGTCTACTCACGCAGCTGATGCACTTCTAATTTGCCATTCGGATTGCGTCTTGTGCTCGATAGATACCCCAGTACCTGCAGTACATACAGCGTCCCTTGGCGTGATGTCGTGTACGGGCGCGCCCTATACTCCGGCCCCGCTGGAGTCCGGAGTAGGGGGTTTGCGTAGCCGGCCCACCGCCGGGGGATACGAGCCATAACAGCCAAGAAAACGCGCGGCTGTTCACAGTTCAAGTTCTCACATAAGCCAGCCAACTCAACGACCAACACCACGCTCATTCAGCTTACAGTTGAAGAAGAAACACATCGAAATCGCAAACAAACCCAAAGACTATGGCATAACAAGAGACCTTTTCCGCAAACACAAACATGAAAACACCAAGCAAGCAATCCAGACAGCCGGCAAGCAATCAAGTTTGTCCGCAAGCGTGCAGAGAACCAAGCCAGCGCGCAAGCAAGCAAGCAAGCAAGCAAGCCAGCCAGCCAGCCAGGCAGCCAGGCAGCCAGGCAGCCAGGCAGCCAGCCAGCGAGCGAGCGAGCCAGCGAGCCAGCGAGCCAGCGAGCCAGCAAGCGAGCCAGCGAGCCAGCGAGTGAGCGAGCAAGCGAGCGAGCGAGCAAGCGAGCAAGCGAGCAAGCAGCAAGCGAGCAAGCGAGCAAGCGAGTGAGCGAGCGAGCAAGCAAGCAAGCAAGCAAGCATTTTATCGTACATTAACTGCTGTAGCCACAAACGTCGCCTCCGGTTGGCGGCTCTCCTTTGCGTGTTTCTGACAGTGTGTTGGTAGTGGTATAGTGGTAGTGGTAGTGGTAGTGGTAGTCGTAGTGGTAGTGGTAGTCCTAGTGGTAGTGGTAGTGGTAGTCGGTGTCGTGGTCGTCGTGGTCGTGGTCGTGGTCGTGGTCGTGGTCGTGGTCGTGGTCGT